GAAACCACTTGTAGGACGTCACTTCATTTGCGGCGTCGCGACGGCGAGGGAAATGGAGAGATATGCCGAGAACGCAATGCCCCTTCATAATACCGCGGGCTGGCGGCGACAAGGATCAGAGAGCTTCTACTCAACATTGAGGAGAGTGCAGTACTCTGATGATCCGGCTTGTTCTCTAGGAAATTGTAATGTAGTGTACACCGTGTGGGCCTTTTTGCTGCGGATATGCAGAGGGGCGATGTGGGGTGGAATTATTGTTGAAGGCAGCACGGACGTCGCCTGACCTTTATGGGAGGGATGCGTGCTATTATTCCGTGCTTCCTGGACTGCGTTGTCGCACTCATGCTGTGTGTGCGGATGGCCACAGTAGTGGAGCTGAATACGGTTCAATGTGTGTTGCTCACGGGGACTGCGCGACACATGTATTTTTTGTTGGGCTTCCCAAAGGAGGGGCGCATCGCCGTTGCGTGATTCCCGCGGCAGTCCATTACTCTGCGACTGTGCGTGCCGCCGTCCGCTGCGCCACTGCAAGCCTTTGCCTTTGTGAGAAGTGGGGAGCGTGACTGCTGTGGCGGTGGTCGAATGTTCCCGAATTGGTGCTTTTGGTGATCCCACTTGGAGCGCCGAGCAGCGAGGGGCCGCACACGCCCAGGAGGTGGGAGTGTGTGCGGCAACCGCACCCGCGATTTGCAGTTGGGATGTGACATGTTTCTTTGTATTTTTATTTTTGGTGATATGCGGGGCAGCGGTGTGTTGGCGTGTGCGGGCTGCTCATGGCTGCCGGTGTTGCCTGTCCTGCTTTTCTCCCGCTCAGCTCCTTTGCGTGCGACGGACCAAACGTTTTTACGGGCGTGTGGTGGGGCCGCGTTCTTGTTTGAAAAAAAAGCCTTCCGCAGGCATAATGACACTGCCGTCCGTGCCACACGAGGCAGCGGGGTATTTCCTGGGATTTATTGGCGGGGCGGCACCGCACTCATGCCGTGTGGTTGATTTGTATTCCGCAATGCACGGTGATGGGGATGTGCGGTGACAACTTCCTCCAGTGGAGCGACACGAGCAGCACGGGGAGCGGAACGGAGGAGTGGTGGCTGCGTGCTTCCAAGTGATACATGAATGGCGAATGCAATATGAAAGGCAGCGTCACGGCACTCTTTTGCCATACACACCGCAGATATTTTCCATAAAGCATGTAATTGCACTCTTTTCTGTGTGGAGGGATTGCCGTGATGCATCGCCGTTGTGGAGTTTACGATTTGGGGTTCTTGCATGTTGCCGTTGCTGCACCGAATTCTCTTCCCACTTTTGTGTATTTCTGTCAGGGTTTATTGCGCGCATTTCATCTTGAAAAGTGCGTGCGGTGACGGCGGTGCCACAGGGGTGCGGGGCCGTGGCGAACGGTATGCGTGGGCGAATCCTCCGTGCGCACCACGTTGTTTTTATTGTTTGCGCTTTAAAACACTGTGCTGGGTGGATGAAATCCACCCGCCGTCGTTGTGGTATTCCTCGTGCATGTGGTGTGCATCGCACGCTGTGCCGTCACACTGTGTGGGGGAGTCTCTTGTTGTGGCTTCGAGCCACGACTGTGCCTATTGTATTTTTTTCTCATTTCCCTTTTTTGTTTGGTGGCCATTGGTTTAGTTTTAACTCAATCCAACTAATAAAACAAGGAGAAACAATGCCTGGAGAGTCAAGCGCCCACTGTGCCGCAGGGAGATCGTCCGAAGAGAGCGAGGTCGGACTTCCATACTGAGACGGATCAACCCGATGCGACTCGCAGAGGAGTGGGGAAAAGGCAGCAAACGAAGTGGTCCCTTGACAGTCGGGTGGAGGATTTACTGCTGGAGGGAAAGGATCGCATCACCAGCATGGGGCTGAATGATTTTGTTCGGAGGTACATTAATCCCAGTGAAACTGTTGTTGGATGCAATTTGCCGATGAGATATATTTTTTGATCTCGGTGCTCACGTAAAAGATGCTCAGCTTCTAGGCAAAATTTTACTCCTACAGGAATATAAGGTGCTGAAAGATATTTACAGATTGCATATAGTGGAGTATATCAGTTTCAGACTACGCCCACCATGACTACTATTAGGGAGCTTTCCGAGTCTCCTTTTGACAAATCGAAAGTGACATTATCACTTGTGTATGTTTCTGAGCGAAACACATTTGTACAGGTGACTTCAGTTGGAGTAAACTTTGTGAAGGGTGGTAAAGGAGCATATATTATCTGTAAAAATGAATTTGGCATTCAGCATGCAAGTGCGGATGCCAATTTGAGATTACTTGTGTTCTCAAGCTCAAGATTTGTATCCGTTGTGGATCTCAATACCCACCATACAAGGGCGTCACTTGAGCTGGATAACGAAGTTTCATGTTTGTTAATTTCATCTTCGCGGGGTTTTGTAATTGGAGAATGGAACTCCGGTGCCGTTTGTTTGTATGAGGTTCAGGATGGAGAGATTTTATTGAAGGGTCGCATTTTTTGTTCGTCAACCTCGTGTTCCATGTGTATTTTGTCACACCTTCATACCCCACGACTTGTTGTTGGATTACTGAATGGGTATATTGCGGATATTTCTTTGGAAGCAGTGTTGATGGGAAGTGCTGCTCAGGAAACACTTATTAGGTTGCAGCCTGTGCAATTATTTAATTTGGAAAGCCATAATGCAGTTCTTTGCCTTGGGGAAGTACCTCTCATCATCATTCTTTGCGATACGGGCTTTCAACTTACTGGAATTGATTTCAATGATGTTGCGGCGTGCGCTATAATTGAAGGTTCCCACATTTCATCTAAATATATATTTCTTTCTCAGAGTGAAAATTCTCTTGCGTTTGGAAATATTGTGGATCTTAAGAAGTTAAACTCATGTTTTCTGGGCCTGAAAGCCACTGTGACTCGAGTGAAATACATCGCGTGGTGAAACGTCTTTGTGATCTCTGTTCGCCGAAGTGAAAAGGATCAGATCCTTTTATTGATGGGGCATGAGTTGGCGAATTCATGGGTTCCACAAAATGAACTCTTCTCAATTGAACTCTTGGAAAAAGAACGATGTGTTTTTTTTGAGACTGTTTTTCTTGGAGGGTCTAACGAATCCCCCAACGGTAATGAGGCGGATAAAGAAAAGGCGATACTTTTGGGTACCACCTTTGCGTTTCCGGATGAACAGTTGCCACGGTCAAGTCGATTCATATGGTATTCTGTCGAACAAGGAAAATTAATATCAGAACGACCACAACTACGCCAAATTGGTAGCAAAGATGTTGAAGGGGCACTTCAATGTTGTTGTATTGTTCCAAACTATGTTGGTCGAATAGCCCTTGGAATAAATGGTTGTATAGCGTTGTATAGTTGGAATGCTGCGGACTCTGTTTTTGTGGCCGAGGAAACGATTTGTATCGGTACCATTGTAACACGTGTGTTGCCTATATTTCAAGGGGACGCATCTTACATGGTGGCCTTTGACGCCCGCCATAGTTGCTTTTTTATTCAGGTGGATACTTTTCAGGGCAGTCTCGAGATAGTTGCCCGTGACTCCGAGCCGCGGGGAGTTATGGATGGTGCTGTGTTTCAATTGGGTAACATCTACAATATTTGTTTTGGGGATGATTACTACAATTTTTTTTCTCTCTCTCGTGGTGCATCGACTTTGCCGAGTGCCTCAAACGCAACATCGGCTACGGTGTCAAGCGGTAAACTCGAAACAAGCGCACAGTATCATTTGGGAGACATGGTGACAGCAATGCAACTAGGCAGTTTTGCCCCGTGTTCTGTTACAAATATTGCTGTTCCTATTCCAACTACACTTATTCCTGGGATTTGCGGCCCCCAAGTCGTTTTTGGAATCTCCCATGGTGCTTTTGGTACGATAACCCCTGTGTCCAACGAAACATATCTTCTCTTAAAGGCTCTGGAGGTTGCTGTCTCATCAGTAGTTCCAGCTTTGGGAGGGTTCGAGCATGTCACGTATCGAGAGGTTCTTCGTGCAGGGCAGGAACGAGGCTATAGTCGCAATGCCTCGTTTGAGAATGCGAACGTCGTGTCATCAGGGGTTTTTGACAAGCGTCGAAAACGCTATCTGTCCAGGTGTGTTTGTAGTGGAGATTTGATTGAGTCCTTTTTAACTTTTTCACAAACTATTCAACAGCGAATACTACGCGAGGCCGAAAGTCGCATTAAAAGCTGCTATTTTTCAATGAATTCCACTCTAGGAGAATTTTTTGAGCACAACGATTTAGACAATAGTTTTGCTGAAAGGAGTGATGCTTGCTTGGATGAGTGCAAGACCATAGGTGACGTAAATGCCCTATTCTCTGAAAGCGGATTGCCTACCTTGCCCCTAACACGAGAGGCGGTTAAAGAGTTTCTTCAAAATATGCAGCGGATTCACTAAGAAACATTTTCACGCACGAAAGCGAAATTATTATGATTGTTATTATAATACTTTCTCTTTGTTGTTTTATTCACTTATTATTGTTGTATGAAATTGTTTTTACCTTTTTTCTTTTCCAACTTCTTTTATGATGTCTTTTCTTTTTTTTCTTAGGAGCTTGTGAAAAGAATGATCGTGGGAGAGCTGGCTAACTTAATTAATGTATGTGTATATCCTGATAAATGAATGCATTCTTTATGATACTTTCTACCGTATGAATCTTTTTGGGAAGAACGCGACTTTGTAGGGGCGGGAGCCGATAGAGGCCAGATAATATTTTTAATTTTATTTTGCCATCCCACCCACCCCCTTGATTCCCACCACGCGGCGGGGTCTTGTGGTTGGAGGACCCCAAAGTCTGCCACTTCGTAAGTAATAATATTTCAAATCCCAACTGAGGACAAAGGACCATGCTAATGGTCCACAGAATTCTATATATTGAATGAGAATAAAACATTGAGGCAATTAACTAAAGAACCTTTTTTCCTAACTTGTTTGGTTTCCATAGATAATTTCAGGATCCGGCCAGCTGCCCGGAGGATTATTCTGCTTTATAAGTTGTCTTGTCAGATGAAGTACCTTGCCGCTTATGCTCTTGTTGGCCTCTCAGGGGGGACCCCCTCAAAGTCTGCAGTTGAGGCCGTATTGAAGGCTGCCGGCGTTCCTGTCGATCCTTCTCGCGTGGATGCACTTTTTGCCGAGTTTGCAGGCAAGGACCTTGATACGGTATGCACTGAAGGCAAATCGAAGCTTGTAGGAGGGGTTACACGTCCCAATGCTGCCACCGCTTCTGCACCCACTGCCGCTGCCGCCGCCTCTAGTGGTGCCGCCGCGCCTGCTGCAGCTGCGGAAGAGGAGGAGGACGATGACATGGGATTTGGTCTTTTTGACTAAAGACAAATGCTTATTTTATTTTATTTTTGATTTTGTTTCTCTGTTTTCCATGAAGAGGCGCCGGAGTCCTGTGAATAAAATGCGAGAGAGTAAATAAAAGTAGGATCAGTAACTGCTGCACTCAAACGCATGGCAAAAAAGGGTACGCCATTGGGTTGGCCTTTTTTTTAGGAGCTTGTGAAAAGAATGATCACGGGAGAGCTGGCTAACTTAATTAATGTATGTGTATATCCTGATAAATGAATGCATTCTTTATGATACTTTCTACCGTATGAATCTTTTGGGAAGAACGCGACTTTGTAGGGGCGGGAACCGATAGAGGCCGGATAATATTTTTAATTTTATTTTGCCATCCCACCCACCCCCTTGATTCCCACCACGCGGCGGGGTCTTGTGGTTGGAGGACCCCAAAGTCTGCCACTTCGTAAGTAATAATATTTCAAATCCTAACTGAGGACAAAGGACCATGCTAATGGTCCACAGAATTCTATATATTGAATGAGAATAAAACATTGAAGCAATTAACTAAAGAACCTTTTTTCCTAACTTGTTTGGTTTCCATAGATAATTTCAGGATCCGGCCAGCTGCCCGGAAGATTATTCTCTTTTTTTTTCCCTTTTAAGTTTTGCTCTTATGACCCTTCAGACACGTAGAGACAAGTACGATACAAGCCAGCTGACGCTCTCGTCGTTAGTTGCACTGTGCGCGGATTGTTCGAGCTTTTTTTTGGAAAGGACCGCGAGAGTTCTGGACAATCAAAGCCGCGCACCAAAAGGATGGGAAAATCAGTTTGCGGCGGTTGCCAAACAACGTCGACAAGAGGACTGCGAACTTTGCGAACGTTACTGCCATCGAGTTTCATCTGTTTGCCCTGCCTCGAAGGATATCGAACTTTTTGAGGCTTTGGGATATAAGGAGGTAGCACGAAGGACTTCCTTAGATGGATTGCCCACGGTTCAGCAGATGTCTAGGTGCGAGAACGCTGTTTCGGAGTTCTCAAGAGTTCTTTTTTCACTCGCGCACAAGCCTAGTAAGGTGGCATTTGAGGATGTTGACCCGAAAAGTGGCTTGAAAAAAAGTGAGGAAGGTGGTGATGGTGAGCCAACCGAGCTTCATAAAAAGGTACTTAGTGGTGGATCAATAGATGATGCCATCCTGCAGCGTTGGAGCACTGCTAGGAAGGGACGAGCCGAAATGGAGGAGATGGGAGTGCTTCGAAGTGCGGAAGAGACCGCATCGCTCAGGCAGGAACTTGGACGTCAGAGGTCCGAAGAGTACATTAAGACAAGGGGGACGACTCCGAAGTGGTGAGCAAGCACGAAGAAGCACAAACAAACAAAACACAACAAGAACAACAAGTTTTATTTTTATTTTTCTCTCTCTCTCTCTTTTTTTTTTTGGTCTTCTCTTCTATATATTGGTAACAACTCTTTTTTCCCCCCTCTCTTTCTATATATAATTTTTCATTTGTTAGTTTTTCTTTACCATGCAGAGTAAGTTTACGCGAGATGTGCGCATAGTTTTTTTTTTATCGATCGATATGGTAGCCGGATGTGTGGCGGGAAAGACTTATTTACTTCACGTTAAACGGGGAGACAAGATTCACGCGTCGTCGCCTCCGCTCATTGCAGACGATGGAGGAAAGCTTCACGTGAACTTGTCTCGCATCTTTACGTCAACGCTGCAACGACAGAACGATTGGAAGTACAAGAAGAAGCCACTCAAGGTTCGCATTGAAGAGTTGCGCTCCCATTTTGTGACAAGTTTGTCCTACGACTTGAGCAAGAACATTGTTGAAGAAACTTTTCCGGAGAGAAGGGTGATTATCCGTGAACGGGACGGGTTAACAGAGGTTCATTTAAGACTGAGGGGTGTAAAAGAAAGTCTTTATATCCGGCAACAAGATGTTCAAACTGCTTCCAATGCATCCTCTAGCTCCTACATGCGCGAGCCGAGCACCGCGTCCTTGTTTGGACCCCACGATCCCTCTGAGGAACATATTAATCATTCAACCACTTCATTTGTGGTTGACGATTACTTAAGTGTCATTGATAGTTTGACAGGGACTGCAAGCGAGCAAAGGAGCGAGGACATCCATTCTGAGACGAAAGAAACTCAGGTGGACAAAGAACTCAATAAAAGAAATTTTGACAAGTGCGCTCCAGCCCCGGATACATCTTTACACCCGTTAGTTGCACCCATGCATCGAAGGACGGGGGGCGTGTCAAATACAATCAGCAAGGAAAACTTTAAGAATCTTGCTTTTGCACGGGGCTCAGATGCGGCTATTTTGAAGGGTAAGGATTTATCCACTCTTAAGCCGTCTTGGAAGAGGAATATTGCTTTTGAAGACCCCGTTCATGGGGTCATTAGGCAGATTTGTGATGCTGTAAGGTGGTGTGGAGACATTGGTAGGGAGTCTCAAACAGCGAGAGATGCTTCGAATGGAGCTCAATTAGCTCTTGATTTTTATTTAAATCAGGATGGAGAAACCCTGGGTCGCTTTGTTGTTAGTTTCCTGGCTCATGTTGTTGTTGAAGTGTGTCGAGAGACGCGACACATTGGCAACTGGCTTATCCTTTTAACACACGTTATTTACGGATCCATCCTGTACACAAGACATCAATTTAATCCGTGTGATGTTAAAGGGATGTCTATAAGAATTGCAGATCTCAGGGATTTGGATGTCGATACGTTTACAACACGAGGAGAAGCCATCATACAGGATCTTGCGAGAGATTTGAGTGTTCCTGTTGCAACAGACATGTTTTGGTTTGCTGGTTTGGATTACTGTGCCAGCACACTCGCTTTGCTTTGTATTCACCAAATTCAAGGTTTGTGTGACAATTTTGTGACTCTTTTTCCATTTTCAGGAAGAGGTTGCATTTCAATGGAAGAGGGATTGGTTGCAGCAACGGCCATACTTTGCTCACATCTCCATTCACTCTTGACAACCTTACTTTCTCAGACGGAACAGAAGGAATTAGCTGATATTCGTAACGCTCCTCCACTCTACAGAATAATTCTTGGGGAAATTATCACGATGGTTTTTGATCGTGTGGTAACAGTTATTATTGAGTACATGCACAAAATAGATTGTCTTCCTGATGGCAGTGCGTTTCATATTGCTTTTAAGGCCTTGAAACTCCTCATTTCTTGGGCAAAGGGACATTTTTTGCTTTCCGTGGTCTCTCCAATTCTAATGTCGCTGGTCGTGTATTGTGACTTTGTTCTATTGCCCCAGGGTTTGCTTAAAAATCATGAATATCGCTTGTATCTGGAGAGGTTTCTTCCTTCGTTTGTAGATGCCAACAATTCGAATGGTAAAAAGTCCCGAACGATGATTTCACCATGTTTATCTAGCAATACAAGCGACACTGTTGCGTTTTCTTTTTATTCTATTCTGGTGGAGTTTACAGAAAGGGGATGTAGAGGGACACCTAAAGCTGAGAGGGGCTCTTGGACTCTGGTTGAGGTTTTGAACGGCGACAAGGATGATGCTGCACGGGTTCTCTCAGCTGAGGAGGTGTTTCCCGCAACTGGGTTTAATGGAACGAGGCATAGCCTTTCTGACCCCATTCTTGTTCTGCCGCTGTTGGCTCAAGAGATAAAGTCCTCTTTCAAATAAGGGCCATGCATGGCGTAAAATGACAAAAATACCGCATTTTCATTTGAAGCAAAGAAACGATTAAATAAATAAAAAAAGAAGAGGGGTTAGGCGCTGGGCGGGGAGGTTTTGTTTTGTTGAAAGGTGATGTCATTTTGGACTATACAGTGTTTCATGAGGTGGGTAAATGACGCAGCTTTTGAATCCTGCGCCTGTACGTACTCACAAAATAAAATATTCTTGACAACGTTCTTGTGGTTCTCATGGGCTGTATTTACTTTGGAGGAATAGGTGGAACATCTTGAGAAAATGAATTTCTCCGTTCGCAAATTAGGGAAACAAATGAGGAAAAGCATTTTAAAGAAGAAATAATTATTGCGAAGACTAGGGAAGGTTAACCATAAGAACTCCAGCAGCTTGTGTGTATGTGTTTATATACTTTTTATTAGCCTTTTTCATAAGGGGGTTTTGAAGGATGCTGTTTTTATTTGTTTTTAACACTTGAGGCTTTGCTTCTTCTCATTGTCTTTTGATTGCCGGGTAAATGATGTTTTTTTTTTTTTTTGGTGGGAAAAAGTCTTTCGCCATGTGTGTACATCATTATACTTGTTCCTGTATCTGCAGACACGCTACATTTGGGTGATGGTGAATGACTGGAATAACTGCTGCAGTGGCAACGATGATTGCATGACTCAGTGTAGAATGCTACGCTGCTTATTGTTTTGCAATGCCCTGCTTTATTTAGTTTCACTTCATTTCTCGACATATTTCCTCTTCTCTCCACTTCTTTAACACACACACGAGGAAAGAAGGAAGACAAGCGATAAACGCTACTGTGAAGTTGGAAGGCTGTGAAAGGACCAACAACAGCACACACACCGCCCACACACACATATTTATATGCTCTCACGTGTTGCTGCAGTGAAGGCACCCCGCACACACAACCGTCGCCGCGTGACCGGATCCAGCGGAAGGAGGAGGAAAGGAAGAGAGAGTGAGCGGCAGAGGCCCAACATGTCCCGGCATGTGTTTACTTCCGCGGTACTGTTCCTCATCGTGATGTTGTGCTGTGGATTTGGATCTGCTAACGCGGAAAGGCAGCAGTCAGGGGACGTGCGAATGCCACAACCGGTTGACATCTATGTGCCGATGAAGACGCAAGTGGTACCAAAAAAGTGGTTCTGGCAAAAGTGGAATGAGGGATTCATTTGCTGCGCCTTCTCTTGTCCGTGCTGGTGGAGTGACGATTGCATTTGCTGAAGGTCACGCCGAGTATAAAGGTTCACACTATAGATTGAATGTGCGTCCCTCTGATATTGTGGCGGGGTACATCAACGTCGCGGAGACGTGGCCGCTAATTGCCGCCGAGAACAACAAGGATAAATGGAGGGTACGCACGCTGTTTAGTACAGTGAGTGAAGAGGATCTTTTTGGTGTTGCGTGCAACCCCACAGCGATTGCAAAGGACAATAAAGTGCTTCTACTTGTGGGGAGCTACAATATGTGAAAAAAATGATGGTCGCTAGAATACGGTTGGCTGGGATATTCAACTTGTTGAGGGTGATGCCACGCACTCCAATGACGGCGTGCAAAGTACATTGATCGACTGGGCTGAACCCAAGTCACCTTCACGGCAGATTCCCCAAAGGATTAAAAGCAACCTGTCGGATTTTGGGGTGGTATTAGTTCAGGCATTGTGATGGAGGGTGGCACACTTGTGTTTACCCTGAGGGCGAGGAATGGGGAAAATCGATCCTTCTCCAGAATCACTTATTCCACGGACAACGGCAATACCTGGGTGTTCCCAGAGGGCATTTCTCCTGCGAACTGCACTGACCCCCGCATCACCGAGTGGGAGGGATCACTTCTCATGATTGTTGACTGCGAGAACGACCAGAGGGTGTACGAGTCGCGTGACATGGGGACAACGTGGACGACGGCAGCCGGGAAACTTCCAGGCGTGTGGACCAAGTCAAAATCGGAAGACTATCCGGAAGGAGTCTTGCGTGTGGAAGCCCCTATCACCGCGAACATTGAGGGAGTGAAGGTGATGCTGTACACTTGGAAAGGGTACTTCTCGGGGGAGAAAAAGGGAAAATGTGTTCCATCTTTGGGTCACGGACAACAACCGCTCGTTTTCTGTTGGACCGGTTGCCATGGATAATAACTTGGATCTTTTCCACGCCCTGCTGTACTCGGATGGTGCGTTGCACATTTTGCAGGATGGGATTATTAAAGCAAGCAACACCATTTCACTTGTATTACTGAGAGGGGCTACAGATGATCAATTACGTCTTGAAGAGTTGGGCACAGCTGGATTCCTCTTTCTCTGAGTCGTTCACACCCACGGCGGGTCTGGTTGGTTTCCTTTCCAACGCATCTTCCGGTGGTGACACGTGGATCGACGATTACCTTTGCGTGAATGCAATTGTGACGAGGAATGCAATGAAGGCCAAAGATGGGCTCAAATTCACGGGGCCTTGGGTCCGGGGCAGTATGGCTCGTGAGCAGCCGGGAGCATAATGGGCCGCATACCTTTGTAAGCTGTGATTTCACTATTGTGGCGAGGGTGATGATTCAAAATTTTCCGAAGTTGGGCACTCCTCTACCGGGCGCGGGTCTGGATGCACCCGTCAGCACGAGCTTAATTGGGCTGTCGCACAACGCGGACAGTGGGTGGGAGACAGTGTTTTACGGAATAAAAACAGCATCGGGAAGCACTTGGGAGCCGGGGAAAAAATACCAAGTGGTGCTCATGCTGCCGGACGGCCACAGGGGATGTGTGTACGTGAATGGCGTGATTGTGGGGAGCCCAGAGACGATACGAACACCTGAGACGCGGGGGCTGAAGTCTCATTCTTCTACATTGGGGGCGACGAGGGAGGCATCAACAGCAGCGATGTGACAGTGACGAAAGTCTTTCTGTACAACCGCCCACTGAGTGTCGGTGAACTAAAAACGGTCAAGAAGAGCGAAGGCTCCGTGCGTGGGGGCGTGTTGCGGGTGCTGCTGCTGCTGCTGGGACTGTGCGGCCCTCTACGGGGCGTAACGCGGCGGGACCCCTGCCTCTAGTGGGTGCAATATGTACCTCTCGACGCACCCTCTGGAATAATTGACGTTTTGCTTGGATATACCTTTTATTTTATATATTTTATTTTTGGTTTGAATATCCCTTTTCCGCCTGTGCAATTATTATTTAAAAGCGTGCTCTCCCTCCCGGGACCGCACCGCGAGGTATTTGTTTTTGCTTTATTTTATATGCTTGTTTTTTTTATAGTGGAATATTTTGAGATTGGCGGGATGTCTTTAATGTTTCCGTCGGCCGATGACACGTGCAGTCGGCATTGAGCTCCACGACGATGGTGCGGTGAAGAAGGGATTTAAGATGTGCAGCAACACACTGAATGTTTCAATGAAATGTGGGTGTTGTGTGGACACCAGGAGGTTGAACGGCTGACGCAAATATATCTTTACTTCTGCAGGAAGAATATACACGTGTTTTTTGTTTTTCCGCTTCACCGTGTTATTATTATTATTATTTTTTGTGAGCGTGAAAAACCTCTTCAAGGGGACTGTTTTTTGCGTTTTATTTTTTCTTTTAAAAGTTTTTATTTTTTGTTTCTGCAAGCGTATTTTGGGTTGCTGTAGGTTGGGCTGCCGTGCCATCTTGAGCTTTGGCTGTCTTCTTTCTTTTCTCTTTGTCTGTCCTGTAACTCCGCTGCGGTTTTTTTTTGTTTCTTCACGTGCGTGGCTCTTTTTATTTGCGTGTCTGCAGACACACAACCGCACGACGTACATGTTGCAGTGCAGCTTGATGCTTCTCGTACACTCGGTGCTGGCAACTGCTGCATTTTGCGGAAATGAAAAAGAAAGATGCGCCGAGAGTGCGCCGTGGCTCTCATCTTCTGTGGAAATGCTGCACGGCGTGTGGCGGTATTGCTCTGAAATGCCGCACCATCACGCACGATGACGTGGCACGGAGTGTCAGATCTCTTTTTGTGTCTGCGTGGTGTGGGTGCGTTTGCGCCGGACCTGTCGGCACGATGGCCGCAGCGTGTGATCGTCACTCTGTTCTCTTGGGAAATATGCTGCCACGCTTTTACGTGTGTGTTGTTTCGGGGACAATGTGCTGGCGGCTGTGCGATTGCCGGATGGAGGGAGAGGAGTGGGGGGAATTGCGTGAGCGCAGCGGTCAGGAGTCGCGCTGGGTATCTCGCCGCGGAGGGGATTGCCCACCCAGCCCAGCACCGCTCCTGTCGGGCACCCTCTCACTATGCAGCGTCGTAGTCGACGCCAGCAGCACGCAGCGAGGCAGCGGATGCCGCCACCGCCACGAGTGCGACCGGAGGGGACACTTCAGCTGTTGCGTTCCGAGGGGTCACTCCGTGTGGCACAGCGGCGTGCCCACAACCCCCTCGCGGACTCCGCACACGACACCGGGCACTGGCCGCGGAGTGTTTGCGTCAAATAGGACACCGCAGTGGAGTCCCTCTTCCCTCCATGTGGAAGGACGCCTGTTTTTACTCTTTTTCCCACCCAGGTGGATGGCTGCGCGATGGCACCACAACAAAATGAGGCAGCCGTTTTCACCATGGAGGGGCAATATCTGTGGTGCTACGCATTGGGGATGTAAACGGCGAATGTAATATTGAAGGCAGTGTCATGGTTCTTTTGTACTGTGCGAATTGCAGAAATTTTTGATAAAAAATATATACATATATTTTCCCTCTGCGAAGAGTTTACCATGATGCATCGCTGTTGTGGCGTGTGTGATTTTGGGGTTCTTGCGTGTGGCTGCTTGTGCACCGAATACTCCTCCCACTTTTGTGTGTGCGTTTTCGTGTGTCCGTGGCGGTATGCCCGCACGTCCTCTTGCAGAGTGTGTGCGGTGACGGCGGTGCCACACGGGTGTGGGACCGTAGCGTGAGGGATGCGTGGACGAACCCTCCGTGCGCACCACGTTGTTATTGTTGGCAGCCACCAACACTGTTCTGGGTGGATGGCACCCACTCGCCGTCGTTGTGGTGGTACCTGTGCATCGAGTACAGTGCCGTCACACCGTGTGGATGACTCTTGTTTTGGCTGCGAGTCATTTATGTGACTATTTTCTTTTTTATTTCTTTCTTGTTTGTTGGTTATTATTCAGCTTTAACTCAATCCAACCAAGAAAACAAGGAGAAACAATGCCTCCAAAGCGCAATAGAGTGCAAGGTGGCAATGCCACGAGTCGAGCGTCTGCCGTGCCGCAGGGAGATCGTCAGAGGAGAGCGAGGCCGGAGTCTGAGGGTGTCACGGATCAACCCGCTGCGACACAAATAAGAGTGGAGGAGGCGCGGCAATTAATGTGGACCATGAGAAGCACCGTAGAGGACATCCTGCTGGAGGGAAGCACTAACAGGAGCAACATGAAGCTGAATGAATTCATTCGGAGCTACTTGGGCAAGGAGTGGGTTGTGGAAAGAAATGGGAGCGTCGCTATGGAGGCGTTTGTTCAGAATCCCGAGACGTTTATCAAAAAGAAAAGGTTATTACACACAATAAAGGCATTGCCGTCATACAGAGAGCTGGAGAAAAGGAAAATTCTATTGGAGGCTATTTATAAGCTTAATCACGAGGGTGTGCACTTTCTCGAGCAATGGAGGGACTATGAAGGAAAGGATACGCTCACTCTACGTGTATGTGAAAGACTAAACGGAGTTCTCACTCAGGTACTGAGAGAAGAAAGGCGGGAGGCAGGAGAAAGGGCAAGGCGGGAGGAACAAGTAGAACTTACCCTAACTACCAGGATCAAAGATGTACTGTTTAAAGGAAGAGTTCGCTTCATGGACATAAAGCTGAATGATTTTCTTACGATGGAAATGGAAGGCAGAGGCATTTTGCACGCCAATCGGAATGTCTTACTGAGGGATTTTTTCAGTGATCCCACGAGGTATATCCCTGATGCGAGAGTATTGGTCGAAGTACAGAAAAAAAGGTTATTATCTGAGTTTGGAGAGGCACTGTATCGGGAGGAAATGGGTTTGGAAGAAGCTGTACGCAGGCTTCACGAGAATGGTGTGGACAGTCTACTTGGATGGTCATTAGCTACTGCGAGGGCAAAAACAAGTGTTAGCAACAGCACTAAACAATCACTGGATGCAGCCCTTCATGTGGCGAGGAACCCGACGACGACGATTGCACCGATATACCTGGAGGGATTCTACGAGTCTGTGTACAATGCGAGGTGGCATCATGTCGTGGAAGTTCCTGGTGAAGAGGGGACGGTAATGAAGGTAAAGGAGGGGGAACCACCGCAGTCATGGACGTACAGGGCAGTTGGCGGCACTTTCGAAAAGAAAGACGGTGTGTTGCAACCAGGTGTAGAGCGTCCCAGACTGATAGTGCTTACCTCGGACAGGGGATGGCCGTACTCGTGGAAACGGGGGGAGAGTGGAATTCTTCCTGACTGCTATTTGAACTCTGAGGTGGAGCGAGTGTGGCGGATCGTGAAAAAGGATCTAACCAAATTGTTCAGCAGACACGGTAAGAACAAACCTTCGTGTCATCCGCGTGTGTTGATTGGGACGCCCGGGATTGGGAAGTCGATGAATGTCGGCTCTTACCTCCTTTACCAGCTGCTGCACTACGATGTGGAGCAACTCCAAATGGTTGCGTACGTTATTGCGGATCGAAAATTTCTTTTTGACAAGACCGCCCAAACCGTGAAAAAATACGGTGAGGCGTATAGTATCGTGGATATTTTGGACGGGTTGTCTGGGCGTGGTGTGAAAGGGTATATTATCTACGACGTGGCAATGAAGGGTCGTCAACCGTCTACTGGTTTGCCTTGCGAGGGATGGGGCATGATTGTTGTGACATCACCGAACATAAAAAACTACGAATGGTGGGCAATGCAAATGGGAGCGGAACGAATCATAATTGATTGCCCTGACGAGAGCGATGTGAGGGCAATGTGCATTTGGAAGGAGCACAATGGGCAGGTTGAGGAAGAAGAGGAAGAAGAAGCGGAAGAAGCGGAGGAAGAAGCGGAGGAAGAAGCGGAGGAAGAAGCGGAGGAAGAATCGGAGGAAGAATCGGAGGAAGAATCGGAGGAAGAATCGGAGGAAGAATCGGAGGAAGAATCGGAGGAAGAATCGGAGGAAGAATCGGAGGAAGAATCGGAGGAAGAAGCGGACTACTGGGAAAAGGTGAAGAAGCGCATGAATAAAGTAGGGCCGATTCTCCGCTTCATCTTTAATGGAAATGAATGTAAGTCTCGCGTTACGGCGTGTAAATTCGCTGTGAATAATATCACCGCTTCGATGTTACAGTATTACGCTGGTATTGGAACTGGCAAGTCGTGCAACGGCCATCATGTGTCTCACAAGCTTGTGAAGGTTGTCCGAGTACGACAAAAAGACAAAATTGAATCGTCTTTGAATTTGCTGATATCTCCCTACCTCGAAAGTAAAACATTGTCCAAGATGGAAAGTGAAATGAAGCAGTCCGATTTTATTTTTCTTGTATTGAGTATATGGGATTATGTCTTACC